TTGTCACATCAGATAAAACCTGTAGAAGAAAGCAAAATACAGCATCTTACACTACAGTCTGGTATGATTATCGCTTCAGCGCTCTACATTACAGCAGGCCTCTGGGTGTGGCGTCCCAGTGTGCAGAGTGGATTAACAGCTCAGGTTATTTTGATCTCAGAGGCATAGCTTCCGCTGGAGGATCTCTGCTCAGACTGAGGCTCGGTGTGTGACGCTGACAGCCTGGGATATTAAAATCAGGTGAGACAGCACCTCTGCTGGTGGACTACAGAAGAAGCTTTGCTTTTTAAGGTCTGGTGGAAGAACTGTACAAGTGGCAAAATTACTCCATTGAAGTTTTGCATTCAAAATCCTGAAGTAGTGCATAAGTATTATCAGCAAAGTTAAAGTACCTGCCAAAGTGCTCAAGTAAAGTACAAGTAACTCATGATTGCACTTAAGTACAGTATTTGAGTACAGCTGCTAATAAGGCTATATACCTAACAACAGTACAGAACACATATTTAAGTCATGGTTTATATTGTACAATAAAGGCCACTTAAAGTACATGAAGTAAGGTGAATTTATTATTTTAGACAGGATATATAATAATACAAATAATTTATTTTTAATTAATTAACCTAACCTATAATCTGTATTTACAGCATGGCAGTAAACTTGTTAAACTTGTTTTAGCATTCAAATATTAATTGTATTTTATTAATATAAAAAGAGAAATCAGTTTAACTGTAGTATTATGGTTATAGCAATGTAAGAAATACTTTTTGATATAAATATTGATAAAAACAACAACTAAAGCAAAACAACAAGAAGTCATAGAATATCTACATTATAATCTACAATATTTAAAGACGTTTTAAAGCCAGACAGTAGTGATAACACTTCGGTGACAGCTCTACCATGGGTGCATCAACACGAATCTGATTGGCCTCCCCTGGTACCACCCCTGCAATAGTCAAAATGTGATGCTTGTCAGTATTAAGGAATGAAAAATAAATATAACTAACATTTTTCTGGTGTGTTATAAGTGGTCAAACTAGTTGGATTTATATCAGGCATGCAGCATGATAGTTGCATCATTTCTCTGACTGTGTTGTTGTGGAGTACTTGGCATGATTCACCTCACTGGGGGGGGAACCACTGTGCAGTGGCAACGTTCCCAACCAGGAGTAAATAAGGAGCGCAGCCAAAGTTAGCTAAATGAAGCAGTGTGTGTGTGTCATGTTTACACCATTTCATTCACAGAATTATTGGTTTAACTAACTTTTTTACATGTATTTCAAATGTACCACCCTTCTCTGAGTCTGTGGCCCAGCCTGGCCACCATGTCCAAAATTTTCTAGATCCGCCCCTGATCCCTAACACAGTCACTGTATCTGTGTGTTAGGATACATTGTGTAATCATTTCATACAGTTGTTGATTTTTAGGAGCCATCTTGCTGTAGGCAGAGCCAAATGAGACGCCCACTTCATTGCTATGCACAAGGCAAAGCTGTTTCTATGCAGCCTAGTAATGGCAATACATTTCTTGACCTAATGGGAGAGTCAGTCATATTCAAGAGGCCACACACAGTCCTGCAGGACAGACCTTTACTTTCCTGTTTGATTCTGTAGCTGTTCATTGATTTTATTGTGATGTTAGGTTTCTGCATTCTGCTGATTACAGCAGGTTGAGTTGGAGTTTGGATCAGCTCCAGATCCAATACTGGGCTAACGGGGGGGAAGCCTCTGAGTTAAGTGCTGCTCTGTTGATGTACTTCATCAGTCTAAATGTCTAGCTGTTTTTCAAAGCTCATAAAAGATGTCATTCTAAATGAGTTTTATTGCAGCTTCTTCCCTGGTCTCATATTTTATGAGTTATTTTCTTAAATGCAGATAAAATGTAACATAGTATTGGTGGTAGTTTTTGCCATGCAAACACTCTGAATGCAGCATGTCTGTATGCAGCAGCTGTGCGCACAGTAAAGGATTTAGCTCATACATCTTAGATGGTTCTTAGAGCTGTCAGAAGACAAGATGTGGGAAAGGTCAGAGGTCAAATCTGTGTATTTGAAGGAGGCCACTGTGGTTTACTATTTCCATATTTCAAGTCTGCTGACCTGTTAGCGTACTTCTTCGAGAATCCTAAACATTTACATTCAAGATACTCTTCAAACTGACCTGAAACAGTTTGTTTAGAGCACCAGAATTTCAAGATATACGGTCATGTTTCATTTTTACATTTTGATATATTATCCAGTTGCTGCTAATTATATGAATTGTTGTGAACATACTTTTATTGCAGTCGAATGAGATTTTATCTTTTGCTGATTTGTGTAATGTGCTGGTGCTTCTCTAGAGTTTTGTTACTGACAGCCAACCTCATGAACAAACTAAAAACAACAAGGGTTGTTTCTCAGTACTTTTTATCTACTCTGTGTTTGTGGCACTCCATCCCAAATCATCTAGTTCCCCATTCCCAGACAAATACAAGCAGCACACTTTTGCTAATTTCACACAGTTTGTTGTTGTCTGAGCAACAGTATCCATCCACTATCTACACTGCTTATTCCCAAATAAGGCCAGGGGGTGTGACTGTGTGGAGCCTATCCCAGTTGACATTGGGCGAGAGGCAGGGCACACCCTGGACAGGTCACCAGTCCATCACAGGGCTGTAGACATTACATTAAATGTGTATTTTGCTAGTATCCCTGCTGTAATCGTCCTGTACAGTTTCAGGTCTGGCGGTGGCAGTGGAAAGTGAAAGCTTCTGTTGACCTCTAGTGGCCACATGCTATCACTTCTTACACATCGACTTAAACAGAAAAATAATTTGTCAGCCCTGAGATAGACTGGCGACCTGTCCAGGGAATACCCCGCATCTCGCCCAATGTCAACTGGGATAGGCTCCACACAGTCACACCCCCTGGCCTTATTTGGGAATAAGCAGTGTAGATAGTGGATGGATACTGTTGCTCAGACAACAACAAACTGTGTGAAATTAGCAAAAGTGTGCTGCTTGTATTTGGCTTATTTTTTCAAATACACAAATAAAAACAGAATTTTACCTCATAGTGAAACTGAGGGGCATCCTGGAGGCCAAGTATTTTAAGATGATGATCTTTTAGAGAGGATCTTTTATTGCATGTCTTCTTCCTCTTTCTCTGTTCATCTCCTGTCATCTACCTATTGCACTCTATTTCATAAAGGCCACCAAAACATCATACGTTGTTGAAAGACGACCAAAGTGTAAAAGACAAATCAATTTTTTGGAGGATGGATACATAATTTCTGCATTTTACATATCATGCTACATCTCATCCTAGACAATTATTATTTAGCATTTTTAAAAAACATTTCATTTCAATTGTAAATCAGACTCAGAGCGTGCAAAGTGTCCACACCCACACCATGTTAGAGGAAGAACCGGGTCCAATCAACCCTCCACGGTGGCATTATGTGTTTATGTTTAATATATTTCCTTTATTGTCATATATTTTAATTCATTTATGTAATTAATGTTTTAATGCATTGCTAGACTTGAACTTTAATGTTTTTACATTTCAGATCCATTTAAAAATCCTGTAAAAAAATACTCTAACATTGGCAGCTTTTCTGTTATTTCTTAATGTGTACAAAAGGTTGCCATCTCCATTGTGTTTGAGCAGGAGACTCATGGTTTACCACATGATGGCGCTGTCTGCTGCAGTATCACCAAACTCACCATACTGCACTGAAAGTGGCACAATGGAGACAACTCCACGCTCAAGAACTAGATAAAGCAGTAGATGAAATCGCGTCTTAGTTGGGGCTGGTTTCTGTAAGCCCTGATGAGTACGCATGTTGTGTGAACCGGCGTGTTGGGACAGCAGCTGGTGGTCTGAGGTATGCCTGTCTGCCTGTCTGAGCCGCTCCCCATCCTGCTCTTGCCCTGAGGGAACATTTTTTTGCGGTAGGGCCTGCTACATGTTGAGCAATGAAAACACCATTTTAAAGTGTCTTTTTACATTTTTAAAGTGAAACAAGTCTTAAAAGTGAAAGCTTATCTTTTTTACAACAGTATTTCATCCTAAAATTCTCTCACTTGCCAGTCGTGCCTTGTCAAGAAATGCTGAAAACTCCAGATGAACATTCAGGACCTGTTTACTGCAACTTCTCTACAGCTAGGATTTGTGTAATGACTTATGATACCTAGGCTTGGGAAACATGGGAGAGGTGGACAGGGGACTTTACTTTCGTCCTCCCACTCATAGGTTTGTACACGCTTGCGCACACCCTGAACCAAACTTACTGTACTGTAGTTCTCATATTCACCCTTATTGTCAAGTCCCAAGTTTCTCATGTTAAGAGTCTTGTGGTTTTTCATAAAAAAATAACATTAAAAAAATCTACAAAAGCATGTTTTTCAAAGATAGACTCCAAAGTAGTGCTCTAGCCACCCAGGTCCAGGACGCCAGATCTCAGTCAGAATGTAAAAATCTACCACAGATCTTCTTTCATGTTTCTGTGTGTGGCTACTTTAACTCCACCACTGAACTGCTGCTTTTATGAACTTTCTGTATATTTTTGTCTAATGAAATTCAAAAACAACAACCGACCAGCCATAGAACCACATTATCACAGGATAGTGATAAGGACTTTATTTTACATGATATGAAATAATAATGCCATGATTCCAAACAAAGCAAAGTAACAAAAATAAAAATAGATGCCATTTATAACATTTGATTTTAGGTAACATTTACTTGTCTGTAATTTACTCTCGGTGTCACCTTTAATATTACAGTTTGTTGTTAAAATGTGAAGCATCTCAGTAATAATAACTTTGAGTTTTTGCTATATGCAGACTCAAGTATGGAAAACCAAAGAATGTGACTAATATCCCAACAAGTATGAACATACACCAAATACTACATACCGTACACACTGCAAAACATTAAACAAGTCTGAATGTTGCCCATTTATGGCCCTTGAAATCTCAGCTCTCTTCCATGAACAGGACGGATGCAGTGACTGTGCCCCTAGACATAGGCCGGCTGGCCTGCAGAGCGGGCGGGCGGGTAGCGTGGAGCTTTCCCCGAATCCTTGCTGCTGCAGTGGTAGCAGAGGAAGCTCCCTCCTATGATAATTAGACCTGCAGCACCCCATCCAACATACAGGGCACTTCCAAACTCATACCTGTGAGTGACACACAGATTGCTCTGAAACTTATGTGGATGTTTAAAAAAGACAAAAAAAAGTTTTTTTTAAAAAACATAAATTTAGCAGTATTACAGGTGAATATTATATTATATTATGTTTACTCAAGTCAGATTCACAGCAGTAACTTTCAAACATCACAAAGTTTTTTAAAGTCATTAAGTTAACTATATAAATGAGTATGCTTAAATGTTAAAGAAGTGGTTCAACATTTTTGGAAATATTTAGCTTTTGTGATCTAGATGAGAAGACTGTTAACCATTTACATGCCTATAAACTAAATATAAATCCACCAGCAGCAGCCAGTTAGCTTAGCTTAGCATAAAGACTTGTCAGGAGATTGTTGGGTGACTGAATCCCTCTGGTTCCCCAAATGATGCTGTTCCTCCTCATTTTTTAAAGGAAATCTTTCCGGTTGTGGGGCCATTTGTTCTCTCCATTATTAATAGCGGTTTATCCTCTGGCCTGGTTCCAAAGATGTTTAAACATGTCCCACAGTGTTCTCAAATTTTAGGCCCATCTCAAATTTGCCGTTTCTCTCCAAAGTCCTTGAAAAGATAGTTTATGCTCAGTTACTGGCTTTCTTAGATGAGCACAATATTCTTGAGACTTTTCAATCAGGGTTTAAAACCCGGCATAGTACTGAGTCAGCCTTGGTGAAAGTCTTAAATGACATTTTTCTTGCAACTGACTCAGGGAATTGTGTGGTCCTAGTGCTCTTAGATTTGACCGCTGCTTTTGACACAGTGGACCACAATATCCTTATTTCTCGTTTGGAGCACTGGGTGGGTATCTGGGGTATAGCTCTGGAATGGTTTCGATCTTATCTTAAGGATAGATCCTTCTGCGTGAAACTCGGAGATGCTGTATCTTCCTCTGAGCCCCTTGTGTATGGGGTACCACAAGGCTCGGTCCTTGGACCCCTTCTTTTTTCCCTTTACCTTCTTCCACTTGGTTCTATACTCAGGAATCACAGTGTTTCCTTTCATTTTTATGCGGATGATTGCCAGCTTTACCTACCGGTTAATAAGGTGAGCTCTTCCGTTAGCACACTTCTTGAATGTCTGGATGATATTAAATCTTGGCTTGCTTTTAACTTTTTAAAGCTGAATGAGGCTAAGACTGAGGTGATAGTATTTGGTGATTCTGTTGGTTCACCATCTGTTGACTTGGGCTCATTGGCTCATTATAATAAAAAGAATATTTTAAATTTAGGTATTAAGATGGATCTCGATTTAAGATTCGACAGCCAAATTGCAGCTGTCATTAAATCTAATTTATTTCAACTAAGACAGTTGGCTAAAGTAAAAGCATTTGTCTCTAAACAGCATTTTGAGATGCTTATTCATGCTTTTATTACTTCCCGTTTGGATGACTGCAACACATTGTATCTGGGCATTGGTGAGTCTTTCATCACTCGCCTCCAGATGGTCCAAAATGCCGCAGCACATCTGTTAACAGGTACGAGAAAATATGAGCACATCTCTCCAGTTTTAGCTTCCCTGCACTGGTTACCTGGTTACCTTTAGGGTTCATTACAAAATTTTACTTTTTATTTTTAAATCCCTTCATGGCTCTGCACCACCTTATTTATCCGAATTACTTCACTGGCACACACCCACACAGTCTCTGAGGTCAGCCAATCAGCTTCTTTTGAGTGTGCCAAGAACAAAGCGTAAGCTTAGAGGCGACCGGGTCTTTACGGTCGCTGGTCCAAAACTTTGGAGTGATTTCCCACTGCCTATCAGACAAGCTTCTTCTTTGTCTGTTTTTAAGTCTCTTTTAAAAACTCATTTATTCTCATTGGTGTTTTGATATTTTATATTGGTGTTGATTTTATTTATTTTTATTGATTCATGTTTTTATATTTTGGTGTTGATCTTATTTGTGCTTGTGGGTTGTGTCTGGTATGGTATGGTATGGTATAAAGACTGGAAACATGGGCAAACAGCTAGTGTGGCTCTGTCCAAAAATGAATGAAAACCAAAAGTGTAAATATGACAAACTGTGGTTTTACACAGGTCTACAGTATGTACCAGGCTTTTTCTTGATAAGACTGCTTACCCCTGCTTATCAGTCTTTATGCTAAGCTAACTGGTAGATGGTTGTAGGTTTATATTTAATATATGTTTTCCAATATGTCAAACTATTCATTCAAGTGCAGAGTACTAATTTAACTAAAACTAAACTTGAGCTGGTAGTAGAACAACAAATCATTAACCTGAAATTCAGATGGATGAGCTCACCTTGAATTAGTGGGAGTGAATGGGTTATAGAAGTCTTGCGCTATTCTGTTGCCATACCAAGATGTTGCCACCAGAGCAAGGAGACCTGAAAAACCATGAGCACAGCAGCTTTTTATATTGTTGAATTACATGGGTTCCATTTTTCTTATACCCTCATGAAGACAAAGCCTGCATATTCACTACATGTCACATCATGCAGTTGCAATATGGTGGCCAAATCAAAACCCACAGGAGTGTAGTGCATCAACTTTAGGACAGAAACATGTCCCTACAAGTCAGAAAATGTTCAGGGAGCACCTGTCCATTGCTTATGTGTGTCTGTAATGAATGAAGTCTGACCAGCAATAATGAAGATAATCCCTCCGATCATTGCCACTTTGTCCTTCTGCTCCGGTTGGTCTGCCATGCAGGTGGTACACTTCATGCCCACCATCTCCACCAAGACGGAAATTAAGCACAGCACGATGGAGGACAACATCAGCCCTCGTGCAGCCTGCACGACAGCTGGAGACAAAGACATGGCACAGGATCACTTGATTTGAGCAGGATGGATTCTAAAGTCGTCCCTGTATATCTCTACACTGGATCTCTGTGTTATTCCTCTTGTTTACAGCAACCATGAAACAGACGACATGATTCACATCCAGCTGTTCTGCATTGAAAATATTGCTTTGAGGAGATCTTGGTCTGATGCCGTTGGTATTGTGTTTATATGTGTAAAAATGTTAAAAATCAATTTACACAGACAAATTTACATTTAAAAATGTAACACTATTTGTAACATCTGAATGGAATTTGAAAAAAAAATACAGCTTCTTTTGCAAGGCAGCTGCTGGTATTTCACTGACATGTCTCTGCATGCATGAGGTCTTACAGGGAGGGAAAAGCCAAACCTCTAGAAAGGTTTGAATGACCAGAGATATTTACACATTCCTATTTTATAACATTAATTATTAAACTTCAGACAGTTCATGAATTCATAAGATACATTTCAAAAACAGACTATTACAAAATAATGTTTATATTGTTTAACTAAGACATATTTATGGTCCTATTTTCTTCTCACACCCACATATCTGTAAAGATGCCACTGATTTTGATGCCTTACCTAAAATGGCATAATATTATTATAATTTGTAAAGGACGCTAATCAAAGGTATATTTAAACACATGTAAAACAATGTTACCTGGTAGTTGGAGAAGTGAATCGTAGACTTTACACTGAATCTGACCAGTGCTCTGTGATGCACATGTTTTCCACAGTCCTTCATAGAGCGCCTGGGCAGTGATGATGTTGTCTCCCGCATAGGACGAAGCTTTCCACTCCACCATGACTGTGGATGCTATCGAGCCAATGAAGCCCAGGAAGGCCAGTGTGAAGCCAAGAAGCTGAATCCCTTTACTGGCCATTGTTTAACTCCAGAAAGTTCAACGTGGAAAAAAAAGTGGGGAAAAAAGAAAGATGTAAAAATTCTTCAAGTTATACAGAGACTGAAAAATGACAAAACTTCCTTGAGTTCCTGGTGGCTTTGGGTGGTGCATTTGCTCCAAAACAGCAGCATCTACCTGTGCATCCTCAGGGACTAACCTGGAGGAGGAGGAGGATCCGGGAATGCCATCCCCTCTGACTGAGGTTAGGAAGAGCAGGATGCCACCTAGTGGCTGTAACGGTCTTCTGCACAGTTCTCCCAAGCCTCAACCTCCATGGAAAATACAGAACACAGAGAGCACGATTCAATAACTCTATCTCAACACAAAGTTCTGTACACTTGAAGTACATTTAAGAGAAAAATTGTTCATTTTATTGTCTATTTTTAGTAGTAGCTGTTGTTGTTTTAGTAATACTTGTGTTTGTCCTATCCTGACAGAGACACAATAAAAATGGTCTCGTTTTGGTAAACAGTGACTCAACCCTAACAGACATTTACTGATACCAACATGAAAAGACAAAGGTTATCAGCTTTTTTCCACATGTTGTCTGTGGCAGTAGCAAATAAAAGTCTGATATATTCAGCTCATCGCATGCTGGGAGGATTTTGTTGTAAGCAAATGAAACCATGGCAGGACCCGACCATTGACCAAAGGTTTTGTCTTGCCTAATTCAGGCTTGTTACCATTTGCACTTTGTGTCAGCTGGCTTGTAGAACCACAAGAGAATTTGTGTCAATGCTGCCTGATCCCTGTAACACAGAGGTACGTAGACTTTGATTTATTTAAGCTGGAAAAAATGCTGTAGATGCTTTAAATAAATATTAGTTTGTGAATAAATTCCAGCTGTACAAAAGAAACACAAGTATAAACACAAGTATACATACTGTGCCAGCTGTACAAAAGAAACACAAGTATACATACTGTCCACATTTCTGTCCTTATGTAAAATCAATACTGACTTTGCTGTTACCTCATATACATTTTCTTCATGTTTCCACAGTGAAAATGGACAACGAACTGGGCCTGTCTCTGTTCCTGGTGCTGCTTCTCTGTCACAAATGCAACACAGAGTTACACACCTCCTGTCCACACAAATGCCAGTGTTTTACTCCGGTCCAAGTACTTTGTGCAGATGAACGAATGCAATCTTTACCCAATAACACATCCAAGCAGATCAAGGACTTTATCATAATGACATCGGGCGTGGAGTACCTGTTCCCTAACACGTTACAGGAGAGCCCCCATCTGACCAAGCTTGTCTTCCTAAACAATACGCTGCTAAGTATTCATGCTCGGGCTTTTGAAAATCTCACTGAGCTGCAGGAGCTGGAGATCAGCGGGAGCCCCTGGCTGGATCAGTTATATCTGGGGACTTTTTCAAAGCAGGGAAACCTGACTAAACTGCTGCTCAACTTCAACAGGCTCAAGACAGTGCTCCCTGGCATGTTTGACTCCCTGAAACAGCTAGAAACTCTGCAAATGAAGGGCAACATTATATCAGATCTGCCACCATTTATTTTCCTGCACCTCCACAACCTGCGTGTACTGGACTTGTCCCAAAATAAACTGGATGAAGTAAAAAGAGAATTTTTTTATGGTCTAATCGGGCTGAAGATTCTGAAAATGAACAACAACCACATTAGTAATCTTACATCTGACATATTCCACAATATTTCTCAACTGATAGAGCTTCACTTGGAGTGGAATGAGGTATCAGAACTTGCTGATGGCATCTTCTCTGTGCTAACCAAGCTAAAGGTGCTAAACCTTCGTGGAAACCTTCTTACAACCTTCAGCGATAAAGTGTTTGGCATTCAGGCCTCAAATTTGAAGGAGCTGAACCTAAGAGACAACAGACTAGCTGAGCTGTCCTCTCTCAGTCATTTCACATCTCTTTCTGATCTTTTCTTGTCCTCTAACCAGCTCTCCAACCTTTCTGAAAACATTTTTACAAATCTAACAAGGCTGGAGAATCTGGATCTTTCTGAAAACCAGCTCACATTTCTGCCTGAAAGGATCTTCAGAAATCTGTTTGGCATCAAGGCACTCCACCTTCACAAGAACAATCTAACCAAGGTGGACACCAAACTGTTTGAAGACCAAAATTTCATTCAGCAGCTGTATCTGTCTGACAACCGGCTGGAAACTCTCCCACTGGGCTTTCTAGACCATTTTCATATCCAGAATACACTTAGGCTGCACGGAAATCCCTGGAAATGTGACTGCCACATGTGGTACCTGCATGACTGGGTGCTGAGAAACAGCCAAAACATCGACATGCCGGACAGGATGCTTTGTGAGAGCCCTGGCTTTTTGAGAAGACAGGGGGTCGCCTCTATTGACAAGGATCAACTGGTGTGTCAGGTGTCAAAAGATGAGATGCTTGATCTCAGCAGCTGTAGTCTGCAAACATCCAGTGACACTGTGATCATCAAATGTAAAGTGGATAGATGTTCTCCGCTGACAGTGAAGGTGCAGTTTCAGGAGGATAACGGCAGCATTAAGGAGCATATTGTCAAAAACGAACATGAACAATTTCGGTGCAGCAACGAGACAATGACCGAGAGCCCTGTTCAGTAGTTCTCCCCATTTTAATCAGCCTTTGTCTTGTGTGCAACAGTGTCCTGATGCATTTGTTGTTTCCTCATCCTAACCTGTGTTCTGACTGTTGGAGTCAATACAAATAAACAAACCTCTAACTTAGCAGCTGATAACCAGTATACATGAATGCTGCTGAATGATAAGAGGGGTAGATGAACTCTTTTCTTGTAGAGTTCAAAGTTCAACTCACTGCTTTTTATATTAACCAGGAGTCACATGTTAATCATCTGCCAACGTGTGTTCAGACTACGGTGTGGGCTGTAGAAAATTTGGAACATTTGTGCATTAGAGGTCAATAAAATATGATATTGTACTTGTCACAGCATTCACAGCACTTTGAAGAGGCAAGAATACCACATTGTAAAAATATTCCGGTCTGGCAAAAGTTAGGAAAGTAACTAAGTGTCAAAGTATGGAAGTAGTAAAACATACTGAGAGGTAAAGGTACTCAGTATGCTGCTGCCAGTGTTAGGTTATATATTACTATACATTACTGGATTATTATATTACTGTTGTATTCATGTGTAAGTAGTATTTTAATGTAGTAGTTGGTTGTGGTTAAGTCAGTTTTGATCATTTTATTTACCGTTGGGGAGTTTAACACATAGCAATGTGTCATATTTTATAAATTTGTCATAGTTGTCATGCTAATGTAGTGCAGTAAAAACTACAATATCTCCTTATGAAATGTAGTGAAGGACAAGTATGAAGCAGCATAAAATGAAACAAGTACCTCAAAAGTGTACACACATATTTCGCTGTAATTTATTCAGGAGCCATCTACTCTGTCATCTAGAGGTTTCTAAAACCAAGCAGTCCCCTCTGTGATCTCCCCACTGCCCCTGACTACAGAAAGGGATGATAAAGGATGAGGGAGCGGAGCAGGGAGGAGGGAGGCCTCAACACAACAAGGCACCCAGATGGCTACACCTTGAATACAACACTCTAAACCACGCTTAATAAGGGTCAAAGGTCAGAGGGTCGATTGGGTCCTGGGTCCGAGTTGAGCGACATCGCACTTCACATGACAAAAGGTGGTGGCTGTTCTACTTCCAGAGTTTGGAGGGATGACCTCACAGTGGAGGTAATCGTCACTCGGCGAAAACAATGGAGTACAGAGGACAAGTAGAGGGCTGTCATCTAATGAGCAACAGCACATATAGAAGTGGTTAAATGCATATTTTGATTCGGTGGGGGGGCCGGGAATTAATAATAAATTATTTCGGAAAATAAAAGAAACAAAATAAGGTTGAAACAAATCACATTCTCTGTGACAAAATATTGATGAGATTATTTTGAAAAAACTGAATTACAGGTATAAAATAGAAAATGTGTCAGTTTCAAGCTAAACTAACTTGATCTGATCTCTGGGTTAATCACTTAAAATGTCTTCTAAAGCTGTACTCAAAGGTGCACTCCACCGCCTTCTCTTAACAACGGTTGAAATGACTATAACCAAACACTGCAGTTCCCCTCAGTTCTACAGAGTCTTAACATCGTTAGCACTTTGTTTTGGTTCCACAGCCCACAACTTTACAGTTCATTCTTATCAAGCTCATCAGCTTTGTTTCCTGCAACAATTTTATTGTATTTAATTCATTCATTTAATTTATTTTAACTCTTGATAAACCCACCATGTGCTACTGTTCCTGCTCAGCACAAGACAGCTGACAGACAAAGTTAGCAACAAGCTGGAGGAGCCAAATACAGGGATGTCAGGGACCAAGCAGTAAGGCAAAAGACACAGCTTCCAAAGTTCAAAATAAAGGGCTTTTTATTAACCCAAAAGTAAGAAAAATACAAAATTAACATCAGATAAATTGGGCCCTAAAAGAGGTCAACAAAAGGTAAGGAAACTCAAAATACAGCAAACTGAACTGTCTAATACCTCAACAAAACCAACTGACCTAACAAGTGACACATCAGGGAAACATATATACTGGCTGGCCAAACCAATAACACACACAAGGGATAAACTAAAGACACTACCAAAATAATCAACTAATAAACACCAAACAGACAGTCTGCTCTCAACTAAATATTTCCTTTAAATGTAAAGAAATTAACATAACTTGACAAATAAAGTTCTAACATAAACTACCAACAAATAAACAATAAATTTCTCCCAAACTCCCCCCTTTCTTGTATGGAGCACTTGGTGCAGTCCAGGCCTAGTGGGAGGTATTTAAACCTGCTGCCCCCCATCCATGGACTAGGAAACACAGTAACTCAAAAGAAAAGGTAAACATTAACAATACAAAATTAATCAAACGTGCATGCTTATCGATCAATTATGTATGTCTAATATAAATTACCCACCCAAGTCCATGGCTGGTGGTGGTTTAGGCCCTCACATGGTGAAGGCCAGGACTGAGGCCTTCACAAGGGAATACTGGACTTCAGGTCAAGTGGAACATCACTCCAAACAACTACTGAGGTTGCTGTCTGTCTGCTGAATGTGTAAACAAGCAACCATGCACTAAAACATCAGTGATAACAACCTCTTAAATACAGCGTCATTGGTGTGTTTCCACCTTCCAACCAGAAATTGACTAATGCAGGTTTAAGCTTCTTAAAATTTAGAAAAAAAGAAAAACTTTTCTGGAATTTATGATAATATTAATCCCAGGATATTCTATACCTTTAAGTTATATAATATTCTATAGCTTCATTAAATGAACATTCATTTGATATATGCATCAGTTTATAGAGAATGTAGCTAAAATTCTGCCTCATATATTTGGTATCTTTGAAAATTATGCATCACCTATAGAATTTAAAGTAAACCTCTGGTTGCACAACATACAGTACGCTTGTAAAGACCAAGCTAATGCTGGTTCCAGTGTGTTTTGTAGGTTAATAGAGTTATCTTCAACACCAAATCGCCTGTCAGCATCCACCCCTGTCAATTCCTGTCTTTGCCTGGCAGACTGACAGCAGCAGAGGCTGCATGCTGTCCTGTCAGGCACACTGAGAAGCAACTGTTAACACCAATGGTCAAACCCCAGCTCTCTGTCCTATTAGTGGACAGTTAGTAGTAGGCACCATGCTCCTTACAGCAGCTCTTCAGACTGGTGAGACATACAATGCCCAAAACAACACAAAGCACTAGGGGGTTTCCCACAGAGTTTAGACTGACCGGTGAGGAGGGAGGTGGCGAGGGCAGGGCAGGGTCCTTGGGACAAAGAGTAGAGGTCATCGGAGTCTCAGTCCCCAGGAAAAGAATTCAGCAGGCGAAGGTTTGATGTGACGGTGTAAAGTAATTCCACGTCAGCTTGTTGTATACGTATGTGTGTTAGCACTGCTTTCATCATGATTAATATTTTTATATTAATAACAAGGGGCATATGTCTTAAGGGCAAAAATCACAGGAATCAATAGATATTTGTCTCTTCTTTAATGATCATAAACATTGTTTTTTCAGTTTAGTCAGTTGTGAAATCATAACCAACACCAGTTGCCATTGTGTGAGCAGGTGTCAGATTTTCTCTCTCAGCCCATGAGAGGGTGACACACATCCTCCATGATACAATGACCTGAACACCTCAATAACACAAATGGGCCATTTTTCACGCTCAGAATGTGAGCCTTGCTTACAAACAAGGGTCACTGTTTATCCCTCAGGGCACCCGGACCCCTGGGTGGGGGTAAAATTGGTGTTGCTGACCAAATTAAGAACAGCTGACCTGATATGGATGTTAAGTGGACGGGGAGATGTCACCAGAATGGTAATCGTTCAGCATACTGGTACACTGCCCTTTGTCTTGACCGTCTCTATTGGAGGATGACAAGAGGCTATAAGCTCCTTATCATCACATCACAATTAAGGAGGACAAACCAGGAACTGTAACCCTCTGGACCGTGCTCTTATATGGCCATGCTTCTTTTGTTTCCAGCGCCACAGATGGAGAGGTTTTATTATGCATGCATGCAGCTTTTCATTGTATATTGCTAGATGTTCTAGTGAGGAGTCACAAGTGACATATACCGCCCACACTCCAACTTCCAGAAGCAGAAGTAATTTCTGAAGTGTCCATTGTTTTGCAATGGAAAAATGTGATCAGTCTTCACATATTACATTTACTGAAGTATTGCTAAGCATTACCATCTGTGAAACATTTTATGAATGCAATGTTGTCATGTCCAATGCTTGCCCCTTCAAAAAATATTAAAATAAATCTCCACCAAAATGTTTGAGAGTGCACAAACCATATTTTGAGGGCTCAGTTTGTACCTCCGCATATGAAAGCACACAGGCACATTTGTATGGGCAGAATCAGAACTGGGAGCAAGAGAGGACAGAATCATAAACATTCCAGGTGATTTGAGCGAGCAGCAGGATGCACCATTGCTCTCAAATCTAATTCTGCAGGCGGTGGGACATGACGCAGTCACATAGCCAGTTTGTAATGTGGCCATAAACAACTGAGTCTCTTGCCTTGTCTGACGATGCTGGCACCAGCTCTTAACTACAGAGGTTCCTGACTGTGTCTCCATTCAAATATTTCCCCTGGCCTCTTCATTGTAAATGATCGATTTTCTCGACCATTGGATGTTTGTTTTCTTCTGGTTTTGTGCTGGTCACATGATAGAACATCAACATGCCCACTAGCTTTGTGTGAATACTTCAGACTATACACAGCTGTTTTCTCACATTTGCTCAGTCTGGCTCACTCGTACCTTAGTTTGACATCTATGGAATATTTATTGAGTATTACTGCCCATGGAGTTTCATGCTAGTGCTACCTTAAGTTACATACTGTAGCTTTAATTTTATTTGACTTCAAGCCAATAAGTGCACTTGAATTAATGTCTTCAGCCTTTACAAACAATATTGCCTCATTTTTGCCTTTAAATGTTGGGGACACATTCCACTGAATGACCCACTCTGACTTCTTCAGAATTGATTCAGTCAGTGCCTCATAGATGGCTTTTCTGTCTTGCCAGTTTAGCCAGACCAAAGGTTGGAGGACGTTTCACTTTGAGGGGACACCTGCAGCAAAGGGTATTGTTTATGATCTTCTTAAACCTTCATGGGCATATGGCCAAGAACTACAGCACTAACAAGAGCCCACCCCCAACCCCAGTACAACAACTCTTTTGAAGATGTGATGACAGTCAGAGTGAGTCCGTTTTCATGGCCTCACCAGCATCATTCTGTGTGGATTCTGTGTAATAAATTTTCCACTTCCAATGTTATTGTTTGATGCTGATACTAAATTCCCTCGCGGAAGCTACACTTCCGCCAGTATGTTGTTGAGTTTTTCAAAAACGCCCAGCTGAATCAAAAAGGGATGAATTGGAGTGAAGGAACAAAGAGTATTGTTCATTCACCATTGACATCGAGTGCATTAGCCTTCATGTGAACCACCTCTGACTACTTCGACCCCCATCAAGCACTGTAACAACCCTAAGAACAACATTAAGGGGGTTCACCCAGAAAGGCGGAGGCAGTGAAGGTTTCCAATGTGTGTCAGAGGAAAACGGCCTCTACAAGCAGAGTAACCTGTCACTGTTGTCAAAGTGTTTGTGAGAGGATGCCATCAATCATGGAGCAAAGGGGCAGACCCCACCCAGCTTTACTATTCTTACTATACAGTTTACTATTCTGTTTTACAAGCTTTGAGGAAAAACTGCATCAAACTGGTGTTTTGATTGGGGAGGGGCAAGGAGAGGAGATGAAATCCAATCAGACAAAACATGGAGGGAGGGGAGTGACGTGTCAAACTGCTCACGTTTCCTCAAGAAACACCGCTCCATCTAAAACCACTCTAGCTTCTACATCACAGACGTAGGTATAGATAGGAGCAACCTGTCAGCACTTCACAGATCCTCTTATCTGGGGGTCACAGGCTGGCCTAAGAGTTCTCAAAAAGCCTTTTAGAGCAGGACCTTTGGGAGCAGCCAACAATAAGCCTTCTTTAGCGCGGTGAAAGTGACAGCATGGTCCTCCCACTCTCCCAGCCATTAAACCTCTTCCTGGATAAACAATGGAAAGGGCTTTTATGAAGATGGAGAGGGTCACAAAGAGAGGAGCCACTGAGAGGCCCGTCTTTGTTTTTATGTTCCAGAGGCTCTTCTGAAAGGATGCTCTGATAGGAGGAGGAGCTCTGTTTTTGTCTCTCAGCCCTCTTTACTGCCACTCTGCTCTCAGCTATGACAAAACAGAGACGTAAACTTAAACAACTGTATCATTTACGCGAGTGAGAAGTTTTAATACATTTTAGAGTGATGGAGAAATTTGCTTTGATTTCTATGTTGAGGTGTGAAATTAAATACAACTTTTAGTATTTTGTCCTTGGTAGGTTCCACATACAACAATATATACTCATGAATCCAGACTACTGTGCATGTGTCCGTCAAGAAACAAGGGCAACATAGAAACATAGTTGCTGCTTTATGACCTAATCCCTTAAAGTCCATGAATCTTAAATTAGGAACAACCAAAACCTCATGGACTGTGTGCATGTTTTACCTCTAGATGTGCTGCTGTCTGATACTGTCAGAGTGAGAGCAAGAGAAAGATTTTTTATTGTTAATTCACTATATGCGCAGGACATACAGAAAAATCGAAATACCTTTTGTCTCTCACCTAATATTGAATGCCCATACCATTTAAAAAAAAACTAAAATGGAATAAAAGTAGAATAAAATAGAGTAAGAAAGCTAAACTAAAATAATTAGGATAAAACTAAATGGTACAACCCAGTAGGCTATGACTCAAACCCTGTATAATCAGTGACAGTAGTGCAAATAATAACAAGACGTTTGTCAGATGTTAGCATCACCAGGGGCGTTGGTGATGCATAATGGCTTATGAGATGCACATGGAGAGCAGTGCAAATGACCAATAGCAGAAGATATGACAGTAAAAAACAGTCAGGGGTCATCAGCAATGCTGATGGCTCTGCAGGTGAGGTGGGTGTTCAAAGTGTCCGTAAGGGAAGGCAGAGGGGCACTGATGATCTTGCTGGCTGTTTTCACTATGTGTTACAGGGCAACCTTCGTACCACACAGTGATGCAGCCAGTGACGATGCTCTCAATGGTGCCCCGGTAGAAGAAGCACATGATGGGGGGTGGGGCACTGGCTCTCCTCAGTTTGCTGAGGAAGTACAGGCATGTTTGAGCTTTCTTGGCCAGTGATGTGGTGTTGTTGTTCCAGGAGAGGTCCTCAGAGATGTGCACCCCCAGGGACTTGATACTGCTCACTCTCTCTAGTACAGCACCATCGATGGTCAGTGGGGGATGCTTTAGAGGTGAGCCCTTGCCTTCTGGTGAAGGGCTGCCAGGTCTGTTAGTGGGTTGCCAGATAACATGTTGTTGGGCATGTGCTATCTTGGGAGTGTGAATGAGGGGGACACCTGTGGCCTCTGGTCATGACTTACCTGTGGCTTGCAAAACGAGCACCATGCTCCATGCTGGGTCTGTCAACTGTCCACTAAATGGATGCAAACATGCAAATTATCTCAGATCAGATCTATGGTCTGCTTCCTCAAATGGCTGAGCCAACACCTTCTCTCTTCCACTGCCAGAAGTAACAACATGCAGTGTGTCCTCGAGTACAGTATCTTATTTAGTCTTCATTTAGCCTTGTCAGTATAGTCAAACCCTATTTATTTTGGATTTTTCCCATCTGGCAGGAGAGCTGGCAGGGCTGCTGTGTGAGCAGATCCTGCCCTCCATACTGCCTAGCAGCATGTCTTTTGGGCTGAACACAACCTCTCAGGTCCCTACCACATTAGAGATTAATTTATTTCCAGCCAGAAAGCAGTTTTTCCTCTCCCTACAAAAGGAATAATCAGTTACGGACAAGAATACGCTTGTTTACTGCAACTGGCTGCTGTACTTGAAAAGAGTGAAATTAATGAATTGAAATTAATGGACATCCTTTTGAGAACCTGATGGGGGTTTTTTGGTGGGGGGAAGAGAAATGACAAAGAGGCCACTGCAGCAAATATGTAATAAACATATAGTTTTATTAATCATAAAAAACAGTGCTTTATTTTCTTGACTTCCTGCAGTAAACAAATTGTGGCATATCAAAAACAGAAAATCACAGCAAGCAAAGAGGCCGAGAGTATCTCATACTGTCCATATAAAAAAACAAATGTGTGTAAACATCCCTGTCAAACATTTACAATATGTACAAAATGTGTTTTATTATGTGATAGTCCTTTTCTCCCACAATCTGTTGAGCTGGTTTCCTACCATGGTCTCCACACAGAGTCTGAGGTGGCCTGTGATGCAACAGGTGACATGTGATGGCTGTTTTGTGCACTCAGAGGCACGAGAGTCGCGCTGGGAACAAGAAACGCAAACTGTCCATCCGGCGTTGGCACAACCTGGCAGCCACTGTAGAGCTTCATCACTTCTGGGGAAACCTGCATTGCTGAGGCAGCTCTGCAAGGCATCTGAGGGGCAGAAGCCGCTGGAATCTGTGTGACGGTCTGTCCGAATCCAAGTGTTCCTGGAGGAGGTCCATAAACATTCACAGCACTGATTTGGGTCACGCAGACCGCCAGGTGGCTGAGGAGGCGAGTCCTCACCTCTGTGTTCACCCCTTCGCAGGTGGACAGGAAACGGGTGACCTCTCCAACACACTCACTGAACCCAGCTCTGTATTTACCCAGGACAGAAGGGTCTATGTTCACAGCAGCTGCAGGAGAAAACACACATATACATCAAGATAGATAGATAGATAGAGTATGGGATAAAATATACTGTGGAACATTAAGAGGTTAAGGTTAATTTAAATGATTATTCATGCAGTCCATGTCTGTGAAATCAGCTCTTAAGGGCAAATGCACACAGCTGTGGGTGGGCAATAAATCTTGTAGACCGTGGGAACATCTAAAGTTAGAGAGCCTACTGGGCTGACTGTTACATACCAGTGATCTGAAGTCTCTGCAGGTTCCTGAGGTGCTTCACAGTCATCTCTAATATGTCTGCCTTTTCCAATTTGGAGTGTCTGGAGCTCTAAACATGCAAAAATCACCATTCAGTTCTAGGTTTGCCCATGATAATTAACAATCCATAGGCTATTAAATAGGCAGTAATCTGTGCGTGTCCTTACGTCTTTCTTGAGTGCATCCAGGATAAGGGTCTTCAGCTGGCCCAGGCTCTCGTTGATGCGCGCACGTCTCCGCTTTTCCATGATTGGTTTGGAGGACTTGAGAGAAAAAATACATTTGAGGTGTTATGATAGGTAACACAACGAGTAGTAAACAAATAAACAAACGTTCAGACAGGTTACCTTTCTGTTCTCTGCCCCAGACCGGAGTTTGTCGGGTGTGCAGTAGCCACTTGCCGGTGTAGCAACCCCGGCAGATGGAGATGTTCTGTCCGCTGTGCTGGTTGGCATCTTCAGGTTTGCAGTCAAAAAAGAAGAGTGGCACGGCTGAAACAAATACTTTGTCGGTAGCAGAAGTGCTGCACGACAACTCCAGTGAGTCCAGTGAAGTCAGTCCCGCCGGGTCCTGGCTGCGCTCAGAGTTTTCAGTTGACAAATGTTGTGATCGACGACCACTGCGCTGCTGTTTCCACCGCCGCGGCTCATATTTATAGAGCCCGGGGCTGCACGCGAGCGGCTCGTGTGTGAGTTCCCCGGTTCCTGCCGTCTGTCCTGTCTGTCAGATGCTGCGGGACCGATGTGCAGAGCCAGGTGAACGTACGGGGCGTGTGGGCCAGGCCGCTGCAGCGGTCAGTGGTGCAGCCTGCAGGGTTCGTTTAATCTGCTGCTGAAGCAAATATGATACTTTGCCTGCCCATTTAAAAAACACCTTTCAGCAGCTGCAACGACCAGGGTACTTCCCTGAAATGCATCAGCGATCATTCCTTTAGTCGGTTTGGTGATTTAATCAGTTGTTTTTTGTCATAATAATACAAATTCCCGGTTTGGTTTTACAAATAAATTGTCTCTCTTCCGAGTTGCATCCTTTCAGATGGTGTTGTTTTCTTGTTTTGGCCTTGACCATATTAATGTAGTTCAATATATACGCAGAAAGGGGCTTCTGTCATCAGTTTATTGAGTAAATTATTAATTGACTATTAACACAACAAGTTTAACAATTTAATAGTCTTCTGATCATTTGTGTCTCTGTACAATTATCAAATTTAATTGTGTGAAAATAATGATTTTTTAAACCTTTTTTCTCAACAACTACTCATCATAACAGACTCTGTTTTTTATTTGCATCAGTTGGCAGACAAACAGCAGCACAGGGAAGATTCAAGCTACATGTATGGAAAAAAAAATTATGAACGTGGAATTAAAAAATCATACAACTGTGATTAATAATGTAATTTATCATAGTCCAGTTAAATGGGAAATTGTTCTTCCTCTGCAACAAAATTTGTTTATTTTATTGTTTCGCATTTTGTTAAAATTGCATATGTCAAAAGCTGTCTAGGAAATTATTTCACTGTCTATCCAGTTGTAGGTGTGTTTGTATTTTGGGTCTGTGCGTATGCACACACACGCGTACACACCTCTCAGGGCGTCACTCATGCTGCATAAACCTCATCCTCTGACACACTTCAGACCTGATGTCCAGTGAAGAAGAAAGTTTGTGACACACTCAGTTGTCCACTCACTACCATGAACGCTGACATCTCCTGTCTGTGGGCAGAAAATGAGCCTGAGGAGCTTATTAAAACCTGTCAGACAATAAATAACAATAAAAAGGCCTTGGTGACACATGAAAGGATATAACAAGTGTTTATCTCTATTAGGCAACTGCATCTTTTTTGTGAGAAATCTGAACCTGAACTACCATATTCAGGTAAAAATGTGTTCTTTCATCTGATTAAACCAAAAAGCAGTTTAATTTGTAGTGCTTTCTTTATAATAATAACATTTGGTATTGCTTTTTGAAGTGCTTTTTGAAAATTGTTAGATTTTATGATAATCAGCTGACAGAGACAAATCTTCAGTAAATATTCTGAGGGGGAGAGTCCAGCACCTGAGCCTGAATAATAAATCTTTAGCATACATGTAGCAGTGTCACAAGAAAAAAACATAAAAGAAATATACAAAAATTATAGAAATATGTGGTAAAGCTTAATTTTCATATGGATTCCTCTCACTTTGCCAATATTGCTAGATTAAATTTAGAAGTGCACCTTGTTTTTGATGGCTGAAAATTGGAGGTAGTGTCCCAGGTTGCAGAGATTTGTCCAAATATAACCATCAAATCACAAAATATTTTAAGGGACAAACCAGCAGGACTGCAAACTGCAGGACAGAAACTTGCTGTTCCTTTGTATTCATGCTGTGAAGTCAAGACAACCTTTTATATGTTCATCTTCAGGCATGTATGCCATATGTATATCTATGTGTATGTATTTGGCTGTTTTCTAATTCCTCTTCCTGCTTCCTGACATTAAAACATTTGATTCCACTGCAAATTTCATGATATTGCTTTTAATATAAAATACTCTAGAAAGTAATTCTGACTCTGATATTCATTATCATAAGGAGTAGTATGATTACAGTAAATGTCACAATAAAACCTTTTAGCTTTTCCAGAAAATGCTAAAAACCCTTAACCTTTCCGTGCATAATTTATTAGACCTTTCTTACTAAGAATCATGTCCAGTATCTACAGTATGTGACGAACCACTCAAATACAGATATACTGAATGTTGCTTGTAACACTGATACTGTATATGTATTCACCTCTGCTGCCGCTCTCCTCTGTGATAAACCCATCTATGGCTTCCTCTCTGTGTGAGCAACGTCAAGCGCCACTCACATCTTGACTTGAGCCAATATACTGGTATGGTATCAAGTCAAACCTCCAGCCAAATGATTCTGGCCTGTTTTATAACCGGTTATAATATTAGCTGTCAAATCTATGGCCTTGTTGTTTTGCTGTATCTGCTTCCCACTCATTTGCACTGACCATCTCCCACTTCATCCACATTCCTTGGATCACAACAAAGAGCTCAGTTAATCTTCTAACTGTACATTTTAACAAGATGCTCCTTTGAAACAGCTCACGGTCCCTCAACAGAGCAGATGACAGGGTTTCCGGAAAAGAGGCTGTGCAACAGTAAATTACACCCCATCAGTTCTGTTTTCACTGATCCTGCTGCTCTGCTACATACAACCAGTTATTGTGTGGATGGAGGTGTAGACAGCACAGAATCTTGATCTGTATCAGGGTGGGAACCCAGGGATGGAAGGCCACAGGGACACACAGAGGTATTAGAAGGGCCATCAAGGGACGTGTTGCTGGGAATCATAAGCTAAGGGGAACAAGCACAGGATTATTTTTGGTTTTGTTCTGTATTTTTAACAACATTCTGATATATTTGCAAAATATTTCAATACATCTGTCTTCCTCAGGGATAGAGCAATAAAGCCCAGGACTTAAAAGGTAAAGACTGAGATAGTTTCAGTGTGATCCTCAAGATATATTAGAAATAGGTACAAAGAACAAATTAATTACATGAAAAACAACAAATTGTTTCAGCCATTTCAGATTGCAGAAAAAGTATCAAAAACCAAAATATAAAAATGATTAAAATATGTTTTCAAATAATACCAATCTTTACATTTTATAATATCTTTAAAATATATTCATTATATAAAATCAAGCAGGACCCTTTTGTGCTAAGACTGTCTCTGTATTGTCTGGCAGGTTTACCTAAGATAGAAGACTCTATGTCCTCAGTGTAAAATCACATTATTATACAGTAGATGAGACCTGTTACCTGGGTTAAATTCTGTCTTACTTTACCATCTGCAGAGATAAAATGATATATTGCAAGGTAAAATCATCAAAAGGTCAAGCCACAGTAGGTACATTTAGATAAACCTCTTTGCACTGGGCAGTTACACAAATGGTCACTTCCCAGTTGCCACACTCCTCTCCATCTTCACCTGGTGTGAAGGCTGTGGCTCCTTTCTCCTCCACCTAGCCACCGCTGCAATGTGGGCAGTGAAATGACCATCGTCATCATCAGATACTGTGAGGGTTCTCTTTCATCTGCTTGTATGAAAACATCTCAGGCCAGGAGTGGAGAGCACAGACAGAGGAGATCACTTAAACATCTCATCCAGCACTCCGCTCACTCTGCGTCGCTCCTTTTCCCTTTGAATCCCCGCTTAAAGAAGTAACTGGAGGGGGGCAGTCCCATAGCAACTCCCAGCCCCTGGCTCTGCACGCCTTTTGTCCCCCTCCCCAACAGCAGTTTCTGCTCCAGCAGCCTTAGACAAGGCTTCCATTAATTGCAGGCCTGTGTGGAATACATGTGGGACAATGGGCCCAACAGAGTGTCCGGCCCCCAGACAAGGCTGGAAACAAGTGGTACAGGAATCCGGCAGAATAGACTCGTCCTGGCTGATGTCACTGAATACATTTACCTACCTCAGCGTGCATTCACTCTGCGCTTTGTTTTATTTGGACAAAAAAAGAAGGGGTAGGGGGATGCAGCAGTATCAATGGAGAAGAGAAGCTGGAGGAAGGGGGGACTGGTTGTCATGGTGATGTGCTGAATTAAAAAATATGGTCGAATTTAACAGAGGCAGAGATGTAAAAAGGGTAGAGGGCATTAGATTAAATCCTGCATGAGATAAGAGACGACTGAAAACAGAGGTTCAGTTTTTTCAGCGCATTCAGCTCTGTTTATACGGCAATACAGAGCGGATAAAGGAGCGGGAGATTAAGTGACTCATCTAGGCTCATGTTTGTCAACAACAACCTGAGCGGTTTCAAGTCAGCTTATTCCAAGTCAGTACACCAGCCACGGAGGAAATGCTCAGCTATGGCACAAGAAGCTGCGGAGGAAAAGGGGGACCATGGCAACTGGTATTTCACCATAACAACCTGCCATCTGTCACCTAACGTGGTGGGTTCTTTCGTAAAAAAAAAAATAAAAAAAAGCCAGCATTTAGATCTTCAACTTGGAGGCAAAGGCAATGAGACTGAAGTCTTATTGAACTCTGGGTCTCTCCTTTGAAAAGGGAACCCAGTCATCGCCTTATCCCTCATCAAATTGAAAAACGCTTTTAGAGATTCGAAGAGAGGCCTCACATTTAATTTTTAAAACCCAGACATGAAAGTGTTCCTACACCACATTCAGCAGTGAAAATTCTTTAAAGGACTAGTTAGCATGTAGATTATATGCATTTCAGTGCATTGTCAAAGTATCTACGTGTATTTACATGTTAATATGTTCAAGGATACTATCATCTTGAAAAGGTGTTGGGGGAGGTTGGTTAGCTCTCTAGTTTCTCTCTGTGGACCATGGGAATGTGTGTGGTTTTTTTTTTTTGTGCCATCAAGGTTCAAACACATTCCTTTAAGGCCACAGATATTATGAGCATCAATCCCCTGCAGCAAAAACAACCTCTAAACCTATGTATCCTGGCTATAAAATGAGGCTTTTGTCCATAAAGATACTGTAATTTAGTTAGTTTAAATGAGATTATACTGCTTCTGATGAATAAAGATTATAGAGTTGTTCTGTTTAAACAAGCATCAAGCCAGAAAGCTTCCCTCCACAAGACCCCTGCTGATGCTGTGCCATGTGGTGATGCTTGTCCTTATCCAAGATTAGTCCATATCCATGAGTGTGTTTGCGTTGGGATTTATGAATGTGAAGATGGTCCATTCTTGCCACTCAAGATAACTCACAAGACCAGAGTTTTGGCCACTTATGCTGTGAATGCAGCCTGGGGGATGCCCTTTCAGCACTCAAGGACCGCTGGCTGAGTCCCCTTCACACAGCAGATCAGCCTCACTTGGGAAAAAGTCCAGTCTCTTCACAGGCAGAGCTGTCCTCAGGGATGCTGCTTTCCTTGTCCCAGGGCCTCCCTTCTTCACCTGCCGGCTTAGCGCTCATCACTTATGCACATAATCCGTGGTTAGTGCATGTGATCCAGCAGCTCAGGCCCAGGCCCCTGGCCCCCGAGCCTCCCCTGCTCACATGCTTGCTGGGTGGCTCCTGGGTGGCCATGACAACTCTCATCTTCTCATGACAGTTAGGCTTCAGTCATGGCTCTAAGTCCCTCTTCTGTCTCCCTGTTTGCTGTTTTCTGTCTCCTAAAGCCCTCCTCTGTTTGTGTGCTGTTCCCATCTCCTTTCTCCATTTTGCTGCTTTCATGTGTTGGGGAAACAGGCTTTAACTCTGCAACAGTGTGGCATCTTCAGGAGCCACAAAAGTGTATCAATGTTGATTCTAGTCTTACTGCAGATGGTGGGAAGCCCTGACCTCAGTTTATTGTGAGTCTGATCTGTGAACTGAGACTGTAAGGTACATTTGTACCCTTCTTTTCACTGTGGTCACTGCAGACCTGTGAGTGCAGATCACCTTACGCCGACACAACACTACTGCCTCAACCATTAGTTTGAGTAAAGGGCTAAATATGGTGCAGGCCCTCGGGGGAGAGTGAGAGAAGCAAGCTGGTGATGTTGTGTGGGCCCACACCAACAAGTGTCACAGTGATTCGAGCCGGTCCTCCCCCTGTGTGAATGCCATGTGAGAGGCGGCTCATCCATGCCCCTGCTACCTCCGCACAAGGCCCTCCATTGACTTCTAACCTGTTGAGGGACCATGACAGACAAAGACCCGTGGGGCAGGGCCCGTCCCTGCAACAAGCCTGTGAACAAACGTTAACACGGCTGCAACTGTCCACCCCCTGAATCATTGAATTTATTGACCAACCACAGAGCCCATTCATTCATGGAAGGACTGATAAAGGAAGGGGGACAGGGATGCCACGAAGGCCTAGGGAAGGAGCCCATGCTAAAGGGACAGGAGGGAGAAGAAAGGCTTTGTGACTGTCTGGTGGGTCACAGACCTTTTACCATACGTGGGCGCCTTTGTGTCATCTGTAAAGTGAAGCCAACCGTAAGTGAACATCAGGTTGGCCTTGTGTCTTGACTACTAATCAAGAGAAGTGTCCAGTACCTTTAGAGAAGCTGTAGCCAATTGACATCTGCTTTTCAACTTTGTGAAGAATGAGTGAATGCACGTGTGTGCAGGCTTGTAACAGACACATCGAGAAACCATGCGGTGCAGAGAAGTGTGTTACAGTGGCAGTTTGGGTTTGATCACTCTGTGGGAGCTGATGTATATAAAGAACCAGTAAACAAAGACTGAATCTTGAAAATGCACAACTTAGACAAAAAAGAAAAAAGCATGGGTAAAAGAGAAAGGAGATGAAGTCAAAAATGTTTGAAACAGCACACATCTGATCACAAGACTGAGAAAACCTTTTTCAAAAAGTAGCTGGCTGTGAGGAAGAAAGGCTGTGTGTTTTAGCTTCTTTAGATCCTTCCACCACTCTCCATCTGTTCCTCTACTGATACAAAAGAAATACAGCAGAGTACACAAAAACCCATACTGGTTAGTGGAGAGGCAACACTATCACCGAAACCACATTGCAAACACTGATCGAAAGCAAGACAACCCGGCTCTGTACACATCAGTGTTTACTGAAAAGATGATCTGTATGTCAGGGAGGCGCACATGAATTCATGATGCCTTCCCATTCTCATCATGAATATTCCCAAAAAGGCTCTTCCCTGATCTGTGGGAGATTCTTTTCTTTTTGGTACAAGTGAAGACCCCCTTCGCTTATTCACAGTCCCCCCTAAATCCACCCATTCACTGCCTATAGGCCCTGATCTCCACATGAAATGATACCCCTTTTTCTCCTCCACTCTCGCCCCTTTAAGCGCCCATATGCCAGGCAGAGAGGAGGCTGGGAAAGCTCATAATTGATCAGTGAGTCTTGGCTGAAAAAAGTGTGACCAAGGTCAGCCCCCCACGAAGCACGCAAGAGTGGCTTAATATACAGATTTATTGGGAAATGTAATGGGACTTCTGCAGAGAAAGCACAGGGATATTCACTGACAGACACCAACACAGTTTTGGCACATTGTAGTACAAATTCTGTATTACAATTTTCAGAAACACATTCCCTTTAAATACATTGGGCGGCTGTGGCTCAGGAGGTAGGGCGGTTGTCCGCTAACCCAAAGGTCAGCAGTTTGAGTCCTGTTCTCCCCAGTCCACATGTCCGTGTCCTTAGGCAAGACACTGAACCCCAAGTTGCTCTCAGTGGCCAGAGCAGGGACAGTGCCACTGTCGGTGTGTGTGTGTGTGTGTGTGTGTGTGTGTGTTGGCGCTGCAGATGGCTGCCTTGGTTCTGTACCAGAAACAAATACCATGTGTGTAACATACTTGGCCAATAAAAGTGATTAAAGATTAACATCTCTTTTTTGCAATAGAGAGATTTTCACAAATTTCATTTTGCATGCTTTACTAGAAAAATGTATACAACAGCTAAAAAAAAAAATTTCAAAAAAATTACATAAAATGTTAAAAATTGTCACAACCGCATCTCGTGATATATTTTGCTTTAATTAATTAAAACAATATTATCCAATACAGTGTCTTAGTAATGTTAAGTGCCATAGTCAGTGCAACATTGAATTAAAAAAGAAATTCATATTTTGATTAAAAGAACATTTCAAAATGCATCTGAGGGAAACTGAAATGTTTCATTTTGATTTTCTTATTTGCTCACAGTCTCTCTTACCACACAGACTAACACTCACAGTGGGACTGGAAATAAAATAAAGAAACACAAGGACAAATTTCTGCTTCTCTCTTCCACAGGAAGAATTTCAACCAAAGCAATGCTAAGATAGAAATGCAGCAGTGTCATGGCTTCTGTCTTAGAAATACAACATCACCTAGGTTCTTCAAACTGCAAAAAGAAACGTTTTCTCTCATGTTTCTCTGAATCCATATGACCTAATGCAGTTGTATTACTTTTTTATTTTAGCAGCAGCTAATGTTAGTAGTAGACTGTTTTCATTTAGTGAAGTGGAATTCATTCAGTGTTTTTAGGCCTTAATAGTGACAAGTGAATGAGAAAAACAGCAGCTGAACACTGTCGCTGTGCAACATATCTGATTCTTTCTTCTGTCCCAGACTGGCAACGAAATATGCCACAGCTCTTCACATATTTCAAGTACTCTATTTGGCCAGACAGTAAAAACTGTTCCAAACAATGAAAAGACTTGTATGACACTCGTATGACACTCATATAACTTATTCAACGTCCAGTGAAGGTCCGTTTCATAGGCAGTCAACTGAATGACAGTCGCGTGATTGAGATGTCCACTCACCTTAAAGGAATAGCTCGACATTCTGGAAAATATTTCCTGAGTGTTAGTTAGATACAAACATTATACCACTTTGCCTGAATGCTAAATATGAATCTATAGTTGCTTGCTGCTTTCCTTGTCCCAGGGCCTCCCTTCAGGCCTGTTAGCTTAGCATCACACAAAGCCTGGAGTCTAGTCACAGCAGTGTTAATTCTGTCAGGAAGAAATATGATTTTTTTTAAAAAGTGCGTTGACCTCTTTTTTTTGGGATGAAAAACAAGACCAAATAAAAAGTAACATTTGATAAAGAACTATGATGAAATGTTTTATATTTTTTGTCTGTGAAATTCTAATGTGAAAGAAATAAACTGATGTGAATTAATTACCATCTTAATCCTCAGTCTTATTAAATGACCTGTCACATCTGTGGAATCACAAACTAGCTCCTGATGAATAAAACTGGGAGCAAGTGAGTGAAACATGGGTGAATCCAACTTCTGCACCCACGTTTCCCTCATTTGTATCTTTTCCTTGCATTTTAGTCCACCCACATAAGAAGCAAGGAGAAACTGCAAGGAGAGCGGAACGAGGAAACATGTTTTGACTGACGTGAGATGCCCTTTCTTCAATCCTTCGTGTGAAGAGTCTAATTACAAACTGATTTCCGATAAAGGGGCATTTCACTTCACAACAGACTTCCGTGAAGGATACACTCATATATCCTCGTTAAAGCTCCTTCAGGCGCGGTGGTTAGCGCTGTTGCCTCACAGCAAGCAGGTTCTGGGTTCGAGCCCCGGCCAACCTGGGGCCTTTCTGTGCGGAGTTTGCATGTTCTCCCCATGCTTGCGTGGGTTCTCTCCGGGTGCTTCGGCTTCCTCCCACAGTCCAAAGACCTGCAGCATAGGTTGATTGGTGTCTCTAAATTGCCCGTAGGAGTGCTTGTGTGTGTGAGTGGTTGTTCGTCTGTGTGTTGGCCCTGCGATGGGCTGGCGACCTGTCCAGGGTGTACCCCGCCTTTCGCCCGCAGCTGGCTGGGATTGGCTCCAGCCCCCCGTGACCCCGATTGGGACTAAGCAGTTTAGAAAATGGATGGATGGATGGAAGCTCCTTCAGGCAGCTTCCTTGTTCTTCAGAGCAGAAATGAGAGCTTTGGGACATCCTTCTTCGTGGCATACCAGAACGACTTCCGGGTCAAAAGGGGATTGACGACTAATAAATTAAGGTAATTAAGATTCCCTAGCCTTTATACCTTATACCTAACCTATGGAGTTAATCCCAATTCTCTTAATTGCATCCATATTTCCCTTACTTGTGTCTCAGTCCTGACCACACAAAGTATGAGGGAAAGATGCAAGGAGAAAATGCAAGGATTTGAGGAAACACGTTTCTACAGACATGAGACATCCTGTCCTCTGATACTTCATCTTCAGCAAAGAAACAATAACTGATTTACAATAAAGAACATGTCAGTTTATAAAGGACTTCCATGAAGCATGCAGTCATGTATCCTCAGTCATATCCCCTGCAGGTAGTTGCCTCACTCCTCAGAAGAGAAACCAGAGCTTTGGGATGTCCTTCAAGATGGTGGACCAGAACAACTTCAGATTCAGTTAATGAATGATAAAATAAGAGAACTGGGATTTACCCTATGGGCACTGTGTGAATATAAATAAGTGGTCGTTTCCACAAACCTCATGACAGATGAGAACACCACCTATAATCATGGTGACACACAATAAGGATGGTGACAGCTGTAGCGCCAAATTGCTCAGAAGATATAAACTTTGAAAATGCAGGATAAAAATGACAAACTAGCTTAAAATTAGCAGCTGCTGGCCGAAACTTCATATATAACATACAGACATGAGGGTGGTAATGTGAATAATTGTTGGTAGGTAGGTAGAACTTTATTGATCCCACAGTGGGGAAATTCCAGTGTTCCAGCAGCAGTAAAGGACAAAACCTTTAACTATTCCTTTAACAGAGGCCATTGGCTCAAGTTTCAGTAGCATAACGCAACAGTGCGGCTAAAATCCAAGTGCCTATTTTGATGAGGTGAATCAAAATGAAAGAAAACTTTATGTATGAGCAGCTTACAGTGTCAGTTGTTGCACTTTAAGGCTTTGCTTTCATGAAACTCCTGGATTGGTCACTGGTGTCCAGCAGTATCCACATCTCGCAAACATCATCTCCAGCCAACTCAGCATGCAGGCTTGTTGGGTTTTAGTTTTAGTCTGTGCAGTAGTTTGCTTGTTGGTTATATTGGTGTCAGAGGGTAGTGGAGATGTGGGACTGTGGATCACTGGCATAGGTGACAGTGAAAGGTTTCGGGGGCCAGTTGGTGTCATCCTGCAGCTTCAGAGCCAGGTGCATGTAGCACATCTTTGGGGGCTTGTTTCTCCGACACAACAACCGGGAGAGGAAAAGCGAGCCCCAGCGATCAATGGCTTCCTGAGAACACGAAGTAGAAACATCAGACATAAAACACAAATTAATGAGCCTGTGTTTAAGCTATTTATACATTATCTCTGCTAAATAAATGAGTGAGCATCCTCAGAATCAGATTTCTGTGGTTATGTGACCAGAACACACATGTAAATTTGTTTATACTGCAAACAGTGACATACTTTAATTTTTACTGTTTAGAATCTGACCTTTAAGAAAACAGAGTTCTAAGTTACAACAATGCAGCTATTTCTACATTCAACAGATTAATTTTTTTCATGCATGACAAGTGTTTCATAATAAACAGTTTTTGCAACACTAGTGACACTGTCAGCTGAAAACTGTTAAATAATGTATATGTAAGAAAAACATTTCCTCTAGATAACCTAGAGTATCACTTTTGTCACAGTATATTCTTACAGGATTTTAACACAGGGTTTTCCCTAGATTTTCAGACGGCTTGGTGTGAGTTTGAAATTATTAGAAGGAAATTCTAACATAGTTGTAAGAAAACTGAATATCAACTAACTAGCTTCCTTGACCAACCTCACTTAGCTACGTAGTTCAGTATGTGTTAGCTCTGTTAGCAATTTATTTATTAGTAAAACAGGCTACATCCTGCTATCTCTATTGTTACCATTCACAAGAATTACTCCTTAACAAAAAGTTATAGCCCGATTCAATTACTCTTTGCGAAGGCTGACCTTATTGATGGCTATAACTATCTGAGTTGATGGTACAGAGAAACATCCTGTCAGCTCTTTGATTAGTTTGGCAATGCTGCCAGTCACACAATCGTTCGTCCAAACACTGATGATTGAAGGTCATTCCTGTTGCCGTGTCATTTTGAAATCAAGTCCCCTCTTATTTTTCAGCACATATAACTCACCATGGTTTTTACATTCGTTCCAATATGTCGCCTTTTTACATTCATTTGGCTTAGGCGCGCCGCAAAAACACTTAGGTGCTGCACCTAAGTGTTTTTGTGGTAGGGAAAACCCTGTAACATGTGAAACAGATCAACAAAGGAAAAGATTCATGAAAGCAAGAGAATCAGAGCTAAGAGATAAAGGAAAGGCACCACTAGTACTGACACTCTGAGAAAAGACAAAACAAAGTGTACTCAAAAGCTTCCCAACCTGAGGTGTGTCAGCAGAGGAGGACTCTGTGGGGTGATTTAACCCCTGATTGCCTCTGACAACCAGTCTCCACAGCATGATGTCAAAGATCACAATCTACGGGAGATTTCAGTGGGAACTTGAGAATCAGCCGATCAGACGTGACAGGGAGGATGAAGATTGTGTTACAGCCACAAAAAGCACAGGACAGAAAACACTAAGACCTAATAAAATGATTCAATGATTTAGCTCATCAGGCGATGATGTACTAATAAGCACCGATTCAGCCGGGGAAGAAATCAATGCAAATCACAGTTTTAAATGAAGAATGCTCAGTCACAGAGAGCTGGTACGGTATGACATCTCTAAAGCTTACCTCCAGCAGGAAGGACACAGCCACATTCACTGTGACAATGATGACCAGCATAATGCGCCAGTCTTGAGGAATACACACGATCTGAGGGGAGTAGGATGAGCAGTGAATACAAAAACACACAGTTTCCATCAACTTCAAACAAAATTAAAATGCAGTTTACATCCAGGAAGTTGTCGATGGCAGGAACGGGGTGCAGCATGATGAAGAGGAGAAACGTATACAGGCTGGTACAGGACAGCATGAAGAGCCCTTAGGAAATAAACATATAGAAATTTGGTCCAACAACATTATAGAGTTGTTTTCAACAAGAACAGCATCCACACATATATGGGACTGTATTAGCACCACGAGTAAGTGTAAATGTGTGCACTACACTCACATTGAAGTGATAATCAGAATTACTGCCTTGCAGTTTTTTTCTGCTCAAAAGTCAAGTTCACAGGAACGGGACAGACATGAGGAAACAGTAAGCTTGACCTTTGATCTCTGACCACCAAAAACTAATCAGTTCATCTTTGAGCAGGAGTTCCTGAGCTGTGGCGTTCACGATTATGGGACGGAAACAACCCAAAAACATGATGCCCCTGGCTGTGGCTGGTATGGACGCATGAAAACTCTATTTAGACAAGGATCTGATCATTCAGGTAAATTAACTATAATTTGGAAAACATTAAAATTGTAGCTAAAAGTCCATAGGAACTGAACTGACTTTTTAAAAATCATTTTAAAAGAAATATATACCTTAAAAATGTAAAACTTAAAAACCATTTCAGTGATATATAAAATACCACACTTCAGAATGTGGCTGGCAAATTCAAATCCATTCTGCACTGACACTAAGCTCGCTGAGAAAAGCAGCTCTTCGACAATACAAAACAAGCCTTACAGTTCTTGTAGCTTGGCTGTCTGAAGGGCTTTCCCTTTGAGAAGACGACGGCCACGGCCAAGTACTGGAAGCAGGAGACGTAAAAGACGGTGGTGTTTTCATAGTTCCTGATATTTTTGGGGTCACGAGGGGCTGTTACATTCAGGCCGGAAGAGAGAGCGGAAACATTGCAGGCACTGCAGGAGAAGACAGGACAGAGGAATCAGTACAGACAGCTAAACCTCTGAAAAGCTGTGCATTCATAAGAACCAGAAAAAATAAACCAAAAGCAAATGTACAGTGTCACTGTTTTCAGACCTTTACTGACCAGCTTACATTGTGTATGATGTGTGATGGACAGTTATTATTTTGTGTCTAAAATTTATTTTAAAAAAGGCTGTAGAAAGGCAGGAGAAAAACCTAAGACAATTTATACAACTTTGTGCCTTCATACAAGATAAGGACCAAGACAGAGGATTCACTTCATCATGTTCAACCATTGGTTTAATATCAAGTAAGAAGGAATGTACAGAGGCGGCAGCAACAAAGCAGAACAGGGCAGGACACTGAAGCACTTCATTTCCAACATGTCACTCACTTTGACTGAGGTGTCCATATCTCATACCAGCTTTGCTGTTGCACTAAAAGGAAGGCTAGGACCTGAAAGAGCATACAGATGAGGATCTGGGTCAGAACTGAGCAGAGGAGCGGGCCTGAGATCAGACCGGACGGTGGACGACGACACACCAGCTCCTTCCACGCTGGGTTCAGACTCACTGAAGACCAGAAAACAAGCACCATCACTGAGCTGCTTTCCAGAGGTCACTGTCATACATAACTGCTTTCGCCTTTCACCCACCCCATCCCTCAAAGTCAAACAGAGCTTCATGCTACTCACTTGTAAAGACAATGACGAGAATGATGGCCATGTCAATGAAGAGAAACTGGAAATCTCCCAAGTTGCTGAGAATCTACAGTATCAAAAAAGGTGATGACAAATAAACAATCGCACAGCAGCGGATGAATGGACCTAGAACCTCTGTATAAGTAACAGTCACACTTCAGCTGCAGTGCAGATTAATGCAACCACATTATGTCACAGTCCAACTACTTTACCGACACTTTCCCTAGGAACAAAACAATGTGCCACTCTGTGGTCACTGCCTTTGTTTCACAGCCAGTGGAGTATGAACCCCCATATCTTTTTAAACCCGACGCTGGCTTCTACTTGTAAATATCAGGGTTTTAACGCACTGGCAAGCTAATAAAACGTGTAGCTTAAACAGCAATTTGAACAGACTTTTATTTAACCCAAAACTCCATGTAATTGATTTTTACCCTGTTTAAATCAATGCGACTCAAATAATACAATTTGGAACAAAGTGTAAGAATGAGAAACAGAACTGTGTTTACCGAGTAGAGCAAGGTGACACTCAGGTACTGGATGATGCTGTAGAGCGCCATAAACTTGAATACGCAGAAGGACGTGATGAGGGCAGCCCGACCCTCCCTGTGGAAGGTGAGAAGGTCAGAGATGATCAGAAAGCTCATAAAACAGTTCAGTTTGCAACAAATGCTACAAGAAAAACTGAAAATGCATCATTCATTCCTGTTGTAATTTATTTCAGTCAACCCTATGAATTAGTTATGAGTGTATATAACGGTGTGGTTTATCATGATGAACGGTGAGAGATGACGGCCTTATTACACCCACGTGGGTCCAGCTAGAACTGGTCTGGAGAGGTTTGCACATTTTGGTAAATTTCTGCAATGTGTTGTCTCTTCTGGCTGATATTCCTGAAATTCATGGAAGACCCTCAGGAGCACAGTGGGGCGTTGTACCTGATGAGGTTGGGGACACAGGAGATGTTTGAGGTGGAGGAAGTGAAGGGTGAAGCAACAGAAGCCTCCAGCTCTGACAGAGAAATCCCACTGTGAGCTTTCTTCAGAGCCTGGGACAGATGGATAACATCAGTATGAATCACATGAAAATAGAAATAACAAGAGGTGAAATACTGAGTTTTAACTGAGCTACTTGATTGTGTGAGAATATTTCACTCCACTATAGATACTAGTTACTTTGAAAGTTTGACATTCAACACATTATGCTTAATAAACGTATAAAAACAGTCATTTGTTAGCATTTTAATTGCCCAACAATATATAGAGAAGGCTTACATGTACCATTCACATAATTTAGTCTATGTAAAAGCCTTAATTGTTGTATCCATTTTTCTGCACAGACACTATAAGCTGCTCTACAAAGGTGGCATTAGGGGTGCAAAAGCTTTAATCTTCTGGCATCATGATGATCAAAAGTACCAGCACTAAAAACTAAATACATTTTTAATACATTTATAATGGCTGCCTATTAAGCCTTTTGCTTTTTTTTTTTAAATTACAATACAAGTCACCTTTACACAAATTCCTTAATTTTACAATGTAACTTCTGCTTTTACATAAAAGTTAATGTTACAATGCACATTAAATATCTTGTTAAGCAGCTAAAAATAACAAAATCACAACACGTGACAGTGAAGGTTTAATCCGGGTCTGGGCCTCCAATAGGGAAGTTAAGGGGAAATTTAAGGGAAACATATATTACAATACTGAGATGTTTTCTCAGGTTTTGCACCTTTTAATGTCGACTCAATTATCAACGACAGTATAAAGACTCTTTCAAACACAGTCTGACTTGTAAAATCTTTACTCTGTTTGTGAAAATGCTCTAAAGGGACATTTTACAGTTTTTTTTTTCTCATCTAGACCACCAATATACACTATAATCTGTCAGATCAGATCTGATGAGAGCACACCGGCCACTCTATGCTCTGCAGCACTTCCACCAGCTGGGTCTTCTGCTCTGGCAACTGTAGAGGGCTTCACAAACAAATGCAAGGGGCGATGACGGCCATGGCCATATAGCCATCAAGAAATTTATACCCTGGTTATGATGTGTGCATCTAAATGAATCCAATTCATACTTACACCACAGTCATTAGCACCATCACCACACATCCCAACAATGTAACTGGAAAGTAAACACAGTTGGATAAAGGTAAATATTTGCCACTGATGATGATGATGCTCTAAAATCGCAAGGTCTCCAACTAATTGAAATAAACAGACAATAAAAACTAAGCCACAAAATCAACAAGAGACTCACTCTATGCTCTGCAGCACTTCCACCAGCTGAGTCTTCTGGTCTGGAGACATGCGGGCAAACACAGTGGATCTCAGCATGAGCTGCAGCAGCCCCATGTGGAGAGAAAGAGGATTACCACGGCATCCAGTCAGCATGAAGCCAGAAGAGCAGCAAGACAGAAACCACCAGGAGCTACGACTATTTATCTGCTTCCCCTAATGTTTAAGAATCTTTGTCTGAGTATGTAGATGTTTATGTGCCAAAGACAGGCTTGTACCTTCTGGACAAGTTGAGGGAAGTGCTCGGTGATGACACTGAAGGCTCGGCCACTGACAGCGAAGTGATAGTTTTGTTCCTGTGGAGTCTGCTGCTTCTCATATATCCCTTTGCCCAGGTCGATCTCCACAGTCTGGAGGAGAGGGGATGAGTCAGAACACCAGAAAACTGAATCATACCATTTATCTTTCATTCATTCATCCTTTGCATAGGGTGGTCCAATGACCTGTAGATAAAAAATAAGGACAAACATTGTGCCAACAGTGGATACATTTAAACCCAATAAAAATGGGTCAATAAAAGAGATAAGGGTAAAACAGCAACCACAGCAAGGACCTAACCAGTAACACATAGATTTCACCAAAAAACAGGATAAAAAAAAGCGTAATTATATTGACCATGATTGATTTATAAAATCAACAAAAAGGTAAAACATCCCAGGGGGTGAATACTTTTTAGAGGCACTGTAGATGTTTAAATCCACTGAGAGACTCTTACACAAAGCTTGTTTGAGTGTTTTTTCCAAACTCTGCTGTGTGTATTTCTTTTTTGTTTGTTCAGATATTTAAGAACAATTTTGCTTAAACTGGGAAGAGAAAAGATACTTGAATATGCGTCTGACACTTGTTAAAGCAAACAGTAGAGCAGCCAAATAAAGAACTGTCTTAATCAGTCATGAGAGCACCAGATCAAGTGTCAGGGAAGCCGATCACACACTATCATAATTATCCCTTACTGTTTTATTCATTAAATCAGTAGGACTGAGACTTTGGCCCAATCCCATTTCTTATTTTTTTACCCCTACCCCCTCATTTTTGAGTCAACCCTCAAAACGGAGTTATAAGGAGCAGTGGTTGAAATCTTCCCCTATGAAATGGGACAACCCTTCAAGACCTCTATGCCTCATCGGTAGTTGATGATGATGGTCAACTAAACAGATTCAACGAGTTGTTGTTGCTGTCTTCTGCTGTGGTGATTTCTTTTGCCCTTTAAGTATGAGTTAGTGTTTGTCAATAGCAAATAGAAATGGAAGGATAGGAACATGTTTTTGACACCAGAGAATACTGGTGGATTTGTTTGAGGTGTGCCGCACTGACTGCACATAAATTTTGTTGTAGTTAGCCTCATAACACTTGGTTTTGAGTCCGCTTCTGAAAACCCTCTGTCTGAAGGGCCGTGTAGCTCAACCACTTCACCCTACCCCTCCATCCTAAGGACAATCAGGACACCCCTACTGTACCACTACATGTGAACGGACAGGCAGGGCAAAGTGGTAGGGGCAAGGGGTGAATTGGGACTGGGCCTTTGACTCACCTGACTGTCCTTGGCAGTCTGAGTAATGTTTTCTGTGTAATGCCACGTGATACTAGCAGGGTGGGCATCTTTAGGAGGCACAGCATCTGCTATAATGACCTTCTCATGTGCAGGCACCATCCCGCAGTCTCGAGCTACCGATATGGCTGTCAACATGTTGTCACCTAACAGATGACACAGGAGAAAGAAGCAAAATGAGGATGTGCTGATACAAAAACATCATTTCAGCCACAAATAAATGACTAAATTCACTAAGCTGGGTTACCTGTAACCATCAAAGTGCGGATATTAGCTTGTCGTAACTGATGTAAAACCCCTGCCGTCTCATCTTTTATTTTGTTCTGCATGATGATCAAACCAAGGAACTCCATGTTGGTCTCTATTAGGTCCCTAAAAGCAACATATCATCCATTTTAAAAATAAAGCAACATTTATTTGTCACTAATACTTGTATGAAGTCACTGTATAGATTCAGATGTCAGGGGATCAGTGAAGGGAACCCACAACAAAGAACCTAACTCATTTTATTGCAGCACACTGAAGAGTTTTCATTCTCTTCGTTGGCATTCTGGTTTTGTGCTACCATCCTCATTCACATCTGCTTTACTTAATGACTTTCTATATTTATCAGAATGACAACAGCCATTCAGGAACAGGCAGGACATTGCTTCTCATCCAGTAGTCATGTGGGCTTGGAAGTCTTGCTAAATAGCCAACTAAATCATTAATACTAATGTCTATGATTGCTGGCAAGTCATGTCACTCTAATTAACACTCAAACCTTATTCTGTGGCTGTGTTGCATTATGATATGAACCCGGTTTCCAGAAATGTTAGGACATTCTCCAAAATGCAATTACAAGCTAAAATCTGTGATTTGTTCATTTGCTTGAACCTTTATTTCACTGACAAAAGTATAAAGAAAAGGCCTGGATTGTTTTCACTGACCAACTTAATTGCATTTTGTAAATATAAACAAATTCAGAACTTGTGATAGAATTTGAGTACTTTCCAAAACACTCCCGAGCCCATGTGGCTGTATTCATCATGGTAGGCTGACAGTTTCTCATGCAGTGCCTCCTAAGGACTCTAAGGTAACGCACATTCAACAGTGGTTTTCACCCTTGGCCTTTACACCGTGAGATTTCCCCAGAGTCCCTGAATCTTTTCACAGTATTATGTACTGTAGATGGTGAAAGACCTGAATTGTTTGCAAGTTTGCCTTGAAAAATATTCTTGATTGATTCTTGATTTACAATTCTCTCATGTCGTTTGACACAAAGTGGTGAGCAATGACCCATCCTTGACTGTGAAGGTTGAGCCTTTGGGTCAATGCTCTTTTTATACCCAGTCATGATACTCTCACCTGTTACTAACTGACCTGCTAACTTTGGAACCTTCCAGAACGGTGTTACTGAAATATTCTACAACCTTTTGAGTCTTAAGCAATTAAGTTGGTCAGAGAAAACATTGAAAACCTTTCCTTTGTACTTTTGTCAGTTAAATAAAAGTTAAAGTGAATTAACAAATCACAGATTTTAGTTTTTATTGCATTTTGGAAAATGCCCATACTTTTCTGTAAATGGTGCTTGTAGGTCGATGCTACTGTTTGTGAAAAACGGATGTTTTTAATGCCTTTTCTGTGGCGGGTTTCTCCCTGCATGTTGCTGTGGATGCAAAACAGTGAGTCAAGCAAATAGTATGTAGTTTGGGACTGAGAGTCCTGGCATTTGCTCATGTTTTAGATAACAGGAACATTTTCTACTCCACTGTGGCAGATACTGGGAGATGACATCATTTGATCTGTTTGTCCAGTTATCAGAACTAAGTCTGCCAACATCAAAATGTCCATAGGTTTCATTAGTAATGTTAATTTTTAACAGTTACAGAATTTAGAGTGGGATGTTTCAGTACACTCCCCATCAGCAGCCAAATGTACTGTGGACAGTGTTATCTTTGGATGCAGGTGTACCTGCTGAGGCTCTGGACTTTGTGCCAGGAAAGTTTGGACTCCAGTTGTCGATGTGCCAAGGCAATGACCCTAAAGCCTTTCCTGGTGTAGGTCTCCAGAGTCTCTGTAAAAGTCTGTGGGACTGTAGACAAGGACAGACCCAAATCAGTCTAGTTCTTTAGATGATATTTGTTTAACAAGGACGAGAACAAAGATACTGAAGGATCTTTTTATTTTATTGTCCTTTGTATCCATCCCAACCTTAGGCATGCAGGATAGGTTTCTGACCTGTGTGCTGTTTACAGAGGCTGGCCACAATCTCTGGTGCTCCTTTCAAGTAGGCCTCCATGTATTTTCCTCCCAACCTCCTGACCACCACGCTCATCCTCTGCAGCGCCGAGGAGAAAGGGAACTGACGCATGATACCAATCTCACAGGACTGATGAGCAAAGGTCACATGTTGCACATGTACATGGTAATTATGAACAAAATCGTCAAATCTAGGTTTTCAGAATTTAAAAGAACTGTTTGACATTTTGGAAAATATGCCTTTTTAATTCTTTTCTTGCTGAGAAGAAGACAGACACTGCTCTTAAAGACTAAATATAAAAACACAGAATGGAGCTGATTAGCTTAGCTTGGTATAAAGGCTACTCTGGTAAACAATAAACTCACCAACCAGCTAATATAGCTATCTTTGGCCAGAGCCAGCTGGTCACCTGTTTCCAGTCTTTATGCTAAGTTAAGCTAACTTCTCATTTCTCAGCAAGAAACTGAAAAATTGTATTTCTCAAAATGTGAAACTATTTTCTTTAAAACGTTTCATAAAAAAGGCCAACTTACTGATAATTCAGGCAGCTCCTGTAAAAAAAGGATTGAATCATATAATTCTGAGATCAGGCAAGAAATCAGGAATATATTTCTTTTTAGCCATGACCAAACTGATGGAACTATACCGTGTTCTGAGTTATTTCACTGTTTTGATTTGCTGTGGGGACGGCGTGCTGTGGAGGTCGCACAACTGTGGGCATTATGAGATCGTGGAGTGCAGTTTCCTCTTCTGTGGGCTCCTCTAGGATCTAAACAAAAATAACATTGCATAATAATATCTCAATAACTCCTTGAGCTTATAGATTCAATCACGTCAAGCCTGGTGTGAACAAAAATCAACTGTAGTCCCGACATCCTCTTGAAAGGAAGAGGAATTTTCTACTGTTCGCCCTGGAGTATCCATGGCACCAGACTTTAACAGGTTCAGCCAACTTGCTCTGCCAAAGCAAAGCACGTGGTGCTGTATAATTCATGTACACACTGGTACCCATGCTAGCTGTGGCGCCTGTGACTTAGCATGCTGGGTGTAAACACTGATCGCTGTCTCCTTACCCAGCCTGTAGCCCTGAACATCTTAAGGTCTAAAGGGTCGCCGGAGAGTTTGCCCTCGATCTTGGTCAGTGAGTGGCAGGTTGTCATGCAGGCCACAAATGTGGAGTTCACCAGACTTTCTTTAGCTGCGTTGGGCTCTGGTGGAAAAAAGCTGTAATGGAGAGCGAGGATCTGACTCAACAATCGGACTGTGGTTATGACAGGAGCAAACCACATATACATTAAGTATGATGTTGTAAAACAAAGTCTTACAAGTGCTCTTGTGCTTACTAAGGACATCATGTGAAATCACTACAAAAATATTCTGACAGACAAGAATCCTTTTTCCAGAGAGAGAGTGAAAAACATAAACATCCACAGAACATAGTGTTATGCAATATCATACAGAAATGTCACATTTCCATGAAGACAGAATGCAAAAAAACTGTCACAGTTTAAAGAATCCAAACATTTGTTTTTCTACATTTGTTCCAATTGCTGTCATCACATCTCTCCAGGCTTTTAAAGCACAACATTTTTGTGGTTACTCTCAGGAAACTGACACAGATTTGTTTGCAAATACAAGAGGCTCTCTCTTACATGCCATCTTCTGCCCTCTGAATACCCCACAGGTCCAAACCATCCTCAGTCAGAGTACCAGTCTGAAGGAAAAACATAAACATATATCAATGCTCAGGAAGCTGCTGCATGAATCCTGTCTGAGAGCGGGAAATCAGTCTCAACAGCCCAAAACTTTGGGACGGACATGCATTGAGTCCTACTTTATATTACACTAAATGCATTTAATGAACATTCTTAACCTCTTACCTAAATCTGTTTTCTGATATAACTTGTAACTACTATAAAAGTAGGAATAATGCATGTATTGGTGTGCAGGGCGGTGACAGACAGACGAAAGTGCCTCTGAAGCCAGTGCAGCCAGTCACAGCAGCTTAGCCTAAGCAAATACAGTGTGGACAGAATGGTGTTGCCTGTCATGGGGCCCAGCGGATTTATGAGGGCACAGGCTGAAACTCACTGTGAGGCCCAGTGAAAACACCATTGAACATGAATACTGGGCTTCCCTAGGAATGCTCTACCAGGTTTAGGCACATTTCACTAAACCAGCAAGCAAGAGGCTTCCATTCTAACCTGTTAATGTAGCAACATACTGAAAAGTTCATGACTATAACCTAAAAAATAAAACGACTAAGCTTCTTAAAACATACTGTGCGGATAGAAACAGCTTCCTCTGACTATAGATTGTATAGGATGCTTTCCAAGAGATCCAATACCAGAGCATTAACAGACAATAAATGCAGCACTGCCCTCCAGACATCATGATTCAGTTTAATTTATGATCTTGAAGGTCAGAAAACCATGAAGTCAGTTTGTCATGAGACATTGCGCTTGGACTGAAGGTGGATTTGGATGCTTCAAAACTAATCTTAATGCATTCTGAGCAGTGAAAGTTAAGCATGGTTCCTAGACACAATCCTGACATGCTTGTTAAATTTTTACTGAATTCTTAACAAGAAAACAAAATCACACTGGAAGAAATGACAACTGCAGTTGAAGCTACCTTGTCAAAACAGACCAGGTTAAGCTGACCGCACACATTGATCCTTTGGGGACTGATGCAAAAGATGCCGACCCGCTTCAGGCGCCGCTGAGCGTACATAATACCAGCTGTCATGGCTGCCGGTAAGGCTGGGGGCACGGTGATGGTGAAAATGTCCAGCGATTCAACGATGATGGTTCTTGCTGGAACCTGGATGAGATTGAGATCACTGACTAAAATTTAGCACATTTAGACATTTACATCTCCTCTGCTAGAGCAGTGATACCTTGTTCATGATACTGAGGACGATGGTGTAGATGAAGCCAATCCCTGCCACCCCCACCAGACACAGCAGGAACATGTAGGCATCCCGGTACAGCTTGAAGTCTGTGGGTTTAGGGTAGAGGATGGAGCGCACGAGCTGGCCTTTCTCTGTACTGAAGCCTGTGGGAACACACCAGTAATGACAGATGATTAAATCACACATTTGTTCATTAGATTTGGTCATTTATTGTGCCATATCTTAGTTAGTGTGTGGATGTGTGCAGCAGTATGAACAAGCTAACTTTATACACAAGGTAAACTGAAGGGAATCCACCACCAGTTTGTTTATGCAACAGAAGGTTTTCATCACCAAGGCCATAAGAAGTTACTGCAACTCTGTTTTTCCTCTTTCCCACCTGTTCTGACCACAACAGCTGTCACCAGTTCACCAGTATAGAAGCGGGTCTGGATAACATGGGTGCCACAGAAAAGGGTGTATCTCTTGTGCTCCTCTGTATTGTAGCTACTGGCTGCCTCTTCACCTGAACTGGGTAGACTGGTCTTGGTGACAGGCACACTCTCTCCTGCAGATCCACAGACATCCAATTAAAAAGAACACATCACTAGCTGAGCTGCATACATGAAGGCCATGTATAAAAATACAGCTTTTTGACCAAAAATCAGTCGCAATTCATAGTTTTTAAGTCTTAAGATACCGTTTTAAAAGATATACCAACATACAATATTGCAAAAAACAATACTACTACTATAGTACTGCACTTATTTGGTGAGCCAATATATAACAAAGTTCTACTTTGACCTCCTTGGGTCTCAAACTGTTTAGTTTAAACCAAGTTTAGAAAGGAAATGAAACTACAAGCAACTGAGAAATCTGACATGTGACAAGGAGACAACTCGACACAAGTGTGACAAGGAGACAACTCGACACAAGCCATAAAAGGATGGCAACCACAGGTTTAAACTTTGACAATATACTGTATTGTATTGTAAAAGCGCATCTATATATTTTAATGTAAGATTTTAATCTGAAAAATAACTCCACCTGTCACATAAATGCAGTGCAGTAAAAAGTACAATATACAGAAGCAGGTGGCGGCCAAATAAAAACACCACCTGTCAGCATGCTTTCATTTACAATGCAGGTTCCGCTGAGGAGTACGGCGTCACAGGACATGATCATTCCATTCGCTGGAATAATGATGACATCACCGGGCACAAGCTCTGTCGACAAGGCCTCTTCGATATCTGAGATCAACGGTGAGAAAGAAGAAACTGAAGATGATATCAGCTCTCTGTGGGCAATCATGAGGACACCATTGGAGATCAATAATTCATGTATTACTGGACAGGAAGATAAGGGGGGGTGGCTTAGTAACAGCCTTAAAACATTACACATTACACAACACATTTTAGAAAACACCAGTCATGCAGGATTGATCAAACAGCACTCCTACCTTCACCAACACGCAGATCTATTTTATAACCAAGAAGGAAAACATACTTTTATTTCCTCTGCACACTGAAACACGGACCACACTGTGAGTTGCGACCATGTCATGTAGCTTCACATATTGCTGAAATGAGAACGCCACAGATTCGTAGATAAAATGAGAAAATACTTCTGTACACACAGAAATGGACAAGATGTTGTGAACAGACTTTTCTGTAAAGATCATTACTGTACTTTCTTTACATCAGCTGCATATCAGCTCACTCTACAATCTTCCAATGACTCACCTTTTTAATCGTATACAGCGAGGCAGCTATTGAAATGACAGACATTAATACTATGGTTGCAGCGTAGTAGTAGTAGCCCTCTATGCTCCACAGGATAACGCTGAAGAGCTGGAAGATGTAGAAAGGATTCAAGACCTGTCAGAGAAAGAAATAGAGCAAGCATTGATGATATTGTTACTAGTTTTAAAAAAAAGCCCTTTATGAATAGATCAAAATCAAGGACCGTGACGTTGCCCTGCATGGCGCAGCCAGGGCCCCACCCTGGAGCCAGGCCCGGGGTTGGGGCTTGAATGCGAGCGCCTGGTGGCCAGGCCTCCCCTCACAGGGCCCGGCCAGGCTTAGCCTGAACGAGCGACGTGGGGACGTCCTCCCGTCGGCCCACCACCTGCAGGAGGATCTGTAAGGGGCTGGTGCACATTGGAATGGGCAGCAGTTGAAGGCAAGGGCCCCGACAACCTGCTCTCTGGACACGGAGATTAGCCCTGGGGACATGGAATGTCACCTTGCTGGTGGGGAAGGAGTCCGAGTTTATGAGGTACCGGCTAGAGATAGTCAGGCTCGCCTCCATGCACAGCTTGGGCTCTGGAACCTTACTCCTTGAGAGAGGTTGGACTCTCTACTACTCTGGAGTTGCCCACGGTGAGAGGCGATGTGCTGGTGTGGGCTTGCTCATAGCCCCCCACCTTAGCCGCCATGTGTTGGAGTTCACCCCAGTGAATGAGAGGGTCGTTTCCCTGCACCTTCGGTTTGGGGATAGGTCTCTCACTGTCGTTTGTGCCTACGGGCCAAATGGCAGTGTGGAGTACCCGGCCTTCTTGGAGTCTCTGGGAAGGTGCTGGAAAACGCTCTGACTGGGGACTCTGTTGTTCTACTGGGGGACTTCAACGCTCACGTGGGCAGCGACAGTGACACCTGGAAGGGCATGATTGGAAGGAACGCA